AGTCAAAATACGGAAAATCGGCCGCCATCTTGCCCCACGACCGAGTTTAAAGAGGAATGGCTCTAGCGGATAATGTGACGTCAAATCGAGAACACGAAAGTCTGCTTTTCACACATTTTCACTTGTTTGGGAAGGTTGTGGTCGATATTGTCCGAAATATGCCGACCAGGTGTGTTGTATGAGGAATGTATGAAGCGTGATACCCTCTTGCAAATTTCGCACGTTGCTACATCCTCCTACAACACACTTAGTCGGCATATTTTCGGACAAAATCGACTACAACCTTCCCAAACAAGCGAAAATGTGTGAAATGCAGACTTTCGTGTTCTCGATTTGACGTCACATTACCCGCTAGAGCCATTCCTCTTTAAACTCGGCTGTGGGGCAAGATGGCGGCTGATTTTCCGCATTTTGACTGGGCACAGACAATTGAAGATTTGAGCAAATAAAAAAATGTTTGCACAGAAATACTCCAAAAAACATGCTTATTTTGTTAAGTGAAAAAAAATTTTTGGGTTTAGGTGCACTTTAAGTTGGCGGTCATTTCCTTTATTCTTGTGACCATAATTTCTGATTCAGTGGTGAGATTGTTAGCAGAAATTAAAAGCTAGTCACTCTTGGGGTTAATAGAACACTTACGCTATATCTGTATTCTAATGTGACACTGAAGCATTCAGGATAATTCTGTGAAATAATCTTACTTTGTTTATTAATTTCTCAAGAATTTGGAAAACTTAAGCCAATTATGTAGTTTCTCTGGTGAAATCCTGACTACAATGCCAAGCAGGAATAATGGTTCAATTTTTCCAGGCTTATACATTACAGTGTAATGTATATAATGGGCCTATTCTTAGCTATTCTTATTCTTAGTAAGTTCTTTAATTTGATTGATTGATGTTTGAAGTAGTGATTTAGATTGTTTCTCTATTTATCAGTAACTATTTGTTTACAATACACATAAGATGTAGTTTATCATAAAATATCCCAGGGTTAATGTAAACTGTTCTACATATGAGTGCCTAGCATTGTATGAGGAAAATTTTAAAAAATATCACACTGCCTTACATGATATGCTGCAAAAGGGTATTTCATTGTTGGTAGTAATATTAGGGCCCTTTACCATATTGCGTGTGCATTGTACCTTGTTCGGAATGCTGGTGGGGGTAGTGGGTTTATCTGGTAACATCAGTATTGTAGAAACACATGTTGCTTAATACTTGTTTCCTTTCAAGTTGTATTGTTTTATGTTTTTTTATGGGAACTTATGTTCCTAAAATTTTGGATTAAGCCAGGGCAAATAATCCGTAATGATTCAGGAGCATCTACCTGCAGTTATTTTCCATAATGGATATTAAACTTACCATTAGTAAATTGTATCTTTCTTAACAAGGAGTTAGAAATAAGGTCTTGTAAGGGGCATCAGATATCAGTCCATGAAGATAACATTAAAGAATTGGTTCATGCTTAGTGTGCATATACTTAGGTATGGATGCCTGCAGGAAGTTTGGAGAGCATGAGAGAAGCTTAAGAGTTGCTCCAGGTGCAGCTGAGAGTAACTATAGCTTGGAAAATTGCCAGGCTTTGCATTGTAATTTCTGGAAATAATTATTGTATGATTTAAACCAAAATATTTTACTGAACTAAACTCTTGGGACATATTAACACTTAAAAATAATATCTACCATTTTTAAGAATTGTCTCCTTTGTTGCAAAGCCTCAGAAAGATCCCTTTGTTCTTTTTCCAGCCATAATTGTATTGCATATTTACAAGAAACATTGTTAACTCAAAAGATTTTTTTTGTAGCTTGAAAGAGCTACAATCTTGTTTTTCAAAATAGCAAAAGAACAAAAATTTAGCAAATTTACTTTTCATTTTGGCTGCAAAAGGTCTATATCAATTGGGACAGATGGGAACTTGCAGCTGAAGTGAAACTGCATACTTCATGTTATGGATGCATGGCTGTGCACACATGAGGATTTTTAACATGGTAGTTCCTTTGGAAATAGGTAGGACGTGCCCATAATATGTTATAAATTTAGTTAGATGTCTTTCATTAAGGTTACCTCAATGTTTATTTTGCTGATGAGTAGCTACCAGAGCTGTTTCTTGATCATTGATGATTAAATCTGCTGCTTTCGTAAAGCTTCTTGGAGTCTTATTTTTAGTCTGTGCACTGCATCACAATGAAGGTGTGTTTACTAAAAGTTGTTTTAAAAGATCTTTTTTATGATGAGCTGTCAGATTTACTCTGCTTTGTGTGTTCAATTTGTGAAATAATTTTATAGTGATACCATGGGAAATGAACTGATTTTCGTATCATCCTGAGGAAATAAGCTGTAAAAGGGGTTTTTAGTTGTCTAGGGAGACACAGTGGCCAGGTCCTTGGTGGACTGTACACCAGTTTTTAGACTTTGTTGGTTCATTTTGTGGTGATTTTGGGTAACCCTTAAATCTCACTGAGCTTAGAATTGTAAAGAAATATTGACAAAAGTAACAGAGATAACATTTATAACTATTTGATATTTGTGGCACAAATTTACTTGTGCATAATTATGATCCAAGGTACTTACTATGGCAAAAACTGTATTTCACAGAGATCATATAGCACTTGTGCAGGAGAACAAACTATGTGCACAGCATGCATGTTGCAAAAAGAATCTTTCAATCAACCTTAATTTTCCAATTTCAAAGTGCTTATTTGACATTTTTTCTAACCTTAAAGATTGACAGTGAAGGTTTCCATAGCCTCACTGAAACAAAATTAGCAAGACGCACATTAAAATCAATTGCAGGTTCATTTTCTGTAGTTTACGCCTTCATACACCAACCAAGAAATAAACTAATTTGAGTTACTTTCCATGAACTGCAATTTATTGTATGCCCAAATTCAGATAACTTATCAACTAGAAAACCAAATGAAATTTGTCAACAGTTGATACTCTAAAAAAGTTTGAATCTTTCTGTCCCACTGATGCACATACAGCCAAAGCCAATCTTGAAATAACTCAGCATCATTAATCAGTGGTAGTCTATCATATCTAGCAAACAAGTAAATGACTTACTCATTTTAAGTAAAATTATGCTATACATGATGCCTTAGAGGTTAATTTTTTAAATAGGAATGTTGCCATGTGGGATATGTTACCACTATCAGTTTGTCTGACAATTTTTTTATTAGCTTCAGGAAAAGTACAAGAGACTACTGATCCTCAATAAATGAGTAATTTACTTGTTGTTGTTTATGTTTATCAAAGGGGTCTCCCTTGCAAGGGAGACCCCTTTGATAAACATAAATGTCTCTGCTATGCTGACTATTCTCCACACTCAAGGGCTTACTGTAATTTGTAAAACAAAACAAAACAAAATAAACATCTGTGATTTACAAGATAGAAATCTGTAATTTGCAAAACAGAAATCTGTCACTGTAATTTTCCAAATAGACTAAATCTATAATTTATGCGACGAGAATCCTTGCCGTAAATTCCATAGGCTGGAAGAATGAGTCTCTCAGTTCAAAACAAGTGTGGTTTAGTGAAAGTAAGAAGTGAAAAATGTAATGGTGCTCTACTTCGTAGAATCTCCACTATGTTCATGAATACACCTTTTTATATAACAAAGTCTAATTTTTGTGTTGAGGCTGAACATTCTTATTTTTTTTTCCAATTTGAGCATAAAAACTTTCTGAACATGTTTTTAAAGTTGCATGGTGCCAATTTAGCAATTCAGACATGATGAGACCAGGTTTATGATACTAATATGATACTAATATGTTTATTCAAACCTTTTGCAGAGAGCTGAATTACAGGTTTGTTACAATGAGAAGAATTTCTGTATTTTGCCACAGGCAAAATGTGTCAAATCACTAAAATGGTCACCCAAGTGAACGAAACATCCTTTACACCTCATCCGCCATTTTGTGATGTGACGTCAGATTTCTCCCAGCGTTCATTTCGATCGTGATGAGAAACTTTTTCGAGGATTTTCCAGAAATTTCTGGCTTGACCGAGAACTTCCCAGAATACAGTCATTTTCGTTCAGCCATAATGAGTAACCAAAAATTTGCCATGTATCAGTGTTCCAAAACGCTGACAAGACCTTTAATTTTAGCATCAATGGATTATTCCAGAAGCAAGAAAGTGGGTATATAGACCACTTTCATAAATGGCTGCGGGATTAATATTCTTTTGTTTAAATTTAAATTAGCCCTCCTGGCCTCGTTCTCCAGTGCAAAATTCAAAAGAATACATTATCTCAAGCGAGGCCAGAAGGGCTAATTTAGATTTAAACAAAAGAATATTAATCCGGCAGCCATTTATGAAAGTGATCTATAGGGATGATTTTGATAGAGCAATCAACAGTTCAGCAGAGAGATTCAGAGATTCAGAAAGAAAGAGATTCCTTAACTTGGAAGGACGCCAAAGAAGAATTTCGAGAGGAAAAAGAAAAGTGTTATGGCTCACGTTTTCAGACTTCCAACCTTTAATCAATGCAAGTAAGTTTTGCACATGAATTTCAGTAGATATGCCTCTTTAGGCAGTTGGAAGTACAGCCCGTTGGGATTAATTACAGAGAGAAATTTTAAACTTCAGCCTAATCGATAGGCTATTTAGTATCAAGGTAAAAGCCACTACCCTTTGATGATTTGAAACAGCTTTCTGTGTGAAGATTCATGATGATATTTCCCTGGATAGAACAAGGGCTGTTTTGGACAAGATTGGACAATAATGGAATACTTTAAGCTATTTCTCTACTACATAGACGACTCTGCTGTTTCACATAAGGAGATTATTACTTTTCTTTGCGTTGCAGTTACTGCCTGGTACCTACAGGCTACGAGTTTTTTCACAATTTTTGAGGAGAGATCGCCTTGGCTCAGGAGCAAGAAGTCGACAACTCATGCTGTCGTAAGAGACAAGAATTGTTCCCTATGGGAGCCGTGAAGATCGCTTCTGTTCCACTTAAACAGTACAAACCTGAAGACATCACAATTGAAATTTATGGTGACATGGTGACCCTTCATGGAAAGCACCGTTCAGAAAGAGGAGATGGATCCGATACAGGCGAGTTCAAGAAAGTCTTTAAAGTACCACAAGATGTTGATCCAGCTACTGTTGCGTCACGTGCTACCCAAGATGGAGACGCCCTCATCATTGTTGGCACAAAACGAGTGGAAGAGAAAACAGACGATGGAAAGTTTGAGGCAAAGTTTGATTTTAGTGGCTTCAAGCCAGAGAAGATCAAGATTCAACTCCATGGTAACGAGTTGAGTATCAGCGGAAAAAACACGTCAGAAGAAGGCGGAGTTTACCGTTCACGTAATTACAGTCGCCGTCTCCTGCTTCCCGATAACTTAGTTGTCAGCTCCGTGACTTCACGCCTGTCGAAAGAGGGCCAGCTGACTATTGAGGCATCACGTGACCCTGCTTTGTTGCCAAGCGAGAGAAGCGTTGACGTCATCATGGAGACAGATGAAACAGAGGAAGAACAAAAGGCGTCGAGAAGCACTCAGTCGGAGAAAACTGAGAATTAGTTAGATCTTTCAGAGAAAGGTAAAGACAGATCATAAGAATCTGAATCAATCGATGATTATCGTAGCTTTTAAGTCTTTGGAAATCTATTAATTAAAAAGCTCAACTTAGTTTTTTAGATACAATGAATATATGAAGTTCATATATTTTGAACTGCGGTATTAGATACGTATGATGCACGATCCTCGCAGTAGAGAGCGCTATTTATGCAATAGCGAAAATCAGACCTATACGGGATTCGAACCACTGACCTCTGCGATACTAGTGCAGCGCTCTACCAATTGAGCTAACAAGCCAACTGGGAGCAGGCCGTTAATTTTTTAGGTTGCTTAAAGATAATCTAAATTGAAATGTCAGTAGAGGGAATGCGAGTGTTATCATAATCCATTAGGAAAAAGAATAAGTGAAGGCATGGCTGATAAAGGTGATATAGATTTTAAGTGGCATGACAAACTGTATGTGTTAATTCCATAAACAAGTGGAATTACGCAATAAATGTTAAAGATCAGTATTTTGATCGCTTTCTTGGTCCTCCTAAAATCATACAAGAGAATAAAAATTGCAGTTTATATCTTAATTGAATCATATGACAACGTTAGGCGTTTCAGAACAAATTTGCATGGTTTTGTAACAGGTCTCAAGCTGTAATAGAAAGAGGGCAATAAGTTCACCAACTGCTATTCTTTTCTTAATCCGTTAACAGTCTCCCTATTGGTTCTATCATCGACCTTTCAACAAAAGAGAGGCATAAGCCACTCTTAAAACGAGAATGAGTCCTCTACTAAATACCACAATGCTCTTTGGCGTCCGAGCCTGCAGAAGAGGAGAATTTTCAGTGTTCTCTTCTAATCTTCATTTGGCTTCCGTCTTTCCCTTTTTTTTCTTGTATAATTTTTTTTCTCCTCATTTTTGCTGTCGGTCATGCTATCGAGTTTTTGCACTCATCGAAAAAAAAAAAGAATTGGACGCCTGATTCCAAGTTAAGATTCATTCAGTGTTCTACCGGAAAACCAGAAAACAAGGTGAAAAAAGTGATAGTAAAGCGATACAGGGACGTCGCTCTGGGCAAACAATGTCACGTCCCCATACCACGGTGCAGCAAGTTTCTGATTAGGAAAATATTGCGAAGACAAGTCACTCTTGAGATCGGAAGACACAAATATATGCAAGGCGTTTTTCATACGGCTCAGAAAAGGGTATCCAAGTTTCTTACTCTTTGGCCAATGTTTTTAGTCGCTTCAAATGCATTTATCATCGCTGGATTAAAAATTCCCCAAAGAAAATGAGACTTGCATATGCTTTCTGGTTACGACAACAATTAGGGGAACGGAAATATGTGGAAAAAAATAGTGAAAAGGAAAAACAAATGTAAGATTAAAAATCAGCACATTGAATTTGAAAATACGAACTTTCTGTTGGAAAAACTTTTATTGCAACATAATAGTCCTACTAGGTTCAAATGCGCGCAAGAAATGTGCTCACACATCTCTTGTCACATCAGCATTGGTCAGCAGTTTCAGATCAACTAAGGTTCCCGAGCATGAAATTTACAGCCGAGTATCTGATATAACTTCACGAACACCGTTAGCTTTCGGGTGTTTACGGGATCCAAATTTAGCGGGAAGGGATACCTGAGATCGTTTAGATTCTGTAGAAGAACGAGTGGAACGGAAATTTTTCCGCGCGCGCGATTTTTTCCTCTTAGCCACACTTCTGTCGATGTCATTTACTGGTTCCATAGTGACGGGAAATACAAACGGCTCCTCGGACTCCATCCCAAAGTCAATACTTACACAAAAACTCTCAGTATCTCCGTTTAGTATTGTATAGCCTTCTTTCCCATCATATGGCAATGTAAAAGTTTCTAGAATGTCTGTGTCCATTTCAGAAGAGCGTGGGGTCTGGAGCGAGCTTGGCATCTCAGTTGTGGTCGAGCAGTGGTCAAGATGTGTCGCCATGTGATCCATGGAATACCTTCTGTAGCGCGGTCTCTCATTATCATCAGAGAAACAGCTGTCTTCATAGTTTCTAACAGAACTGAAAGAAGAATATTACCCGAAACGATCAAAGCTGATCTAGAAAACTCCCATCACCTTCAAACCAATCTGAAATAAAATTAATCGTGAACAATCGGCCGGGGTTTAATCACCCCTGTTTCCTTCTCTTCAAGTAAGCTATTTTGAGTTCTCATTGGCTCTCCATATTACCTTTCTTCGTTGTTGAAATTATTTTGGTTCTAGCCTTAATGGAGGAGTCAGTCCCTAAATTTGTTTTGGTCGAGGGGGGTTCCACAAACCTCTTCATATAAAGGTCTAAAAAAGTCAAATAGCCCTATCAAATTTTTTTCGAAGCGTTTTTCTGAACTTACCGTGCTAACTTCATCCTTCTCTTACGTATGTGGCGCCTAAAAGGAAAGCGAATCCACCTTAATTCATAACTTGAAATACACCCTATTTAGTTCCTTGCTTTGGTAGCAATGCTGGCAAGTTCGTCAATTACGAGAAAGTTTTGAAATCTGGGGGGGGGTCTTCGGGGAAAGAGATAACATGTGGTGTGAGTTTTATTTTATGATTACGAAAACCTTTAAATTAAAGCTGTAAGAGTAAATAATAACAAACACCGTTTTGCATCTTAAATTTCCTTCTTTCTTGGAACAAAAAAATCAACATTGTAAGAAAAGAACCGCACCTCAATGCAGCTTCGTCTTCTTCTCAGTATGCTTTCTTTTATGTGGTTGTTATTATGTAACAGAATTAAAGCGTTTTTATGCAAACAGTTCTGAATCTGCAACATGCCTCCTAATTTCAGTTCACATTGATCACCCTATTGTTATTTTTTTTGGTTAACTAGATCTTTGGATTTACCCACGCCATTTTTACATAATTACAACTACAAGAGAAAACATGGCGACGCTGATTTCGAAAAGAGCAGAAAATTTCTGGAGAATAAGCGCTTGTCAAAGGCGACCCTAGATTTTGGCCAAGTTCACCTTTCTATTTTTGAAAAAATTAGTAATTAAAAAGTGTTGGCGAATTTTAAAAAGCTTAAATTACCGGCCGGGGTACCTTTACTGAGATTTAGATCACATAAGCGCATTGCTGGTTTACTCGACTTACTTAACTTACCTTCCTTCTCTCCATATGACAAGAGTAATAATGATGGCGATGATGAGAACAAATACACAGATTATGATTATTATTTTTGTGTGATCTGTAAACATCAACAGAAAAGCTAGTTAGCCGGAAGGGCGACTTGTCAATGTGAAGCAACGCGAAAGAAATATGTGAATCGAAAAAGATAAGGAAAAAAAACTAAGATAAGAGAAAGAGTGGAGGTGAAGATAAAAAAATTGAAACGCCATTGACAGAAGGTGAAAGAGAAGCTTCACCATTAGCAAGTTCTCCGACAGAAATCGTTGTCGCTGTATTTACACGGTTTTGATTAGCGACATCGATGACCGGGGATCCAAATAAAACATAAGAGATTTTGCATTTGAAGTTATTGGACCCTATTAAATCATTAGACCTTACCGTAAGGTATAATGGTTTTATGCAGATTTTTCATAAAAAAATTTGAAAATTTGACTACGTTTCCAAAGTTAAACTGAAGTTTTATGATGTTCACGGCAAGCTTCAAGGACTAAGTCCTAAAAGTAAAAGAACAATTTGACTGCAAATTTATACGGCAGGGAAATTGCGTGCATACCTTCTTTCGACACTATCGCAATGGTTGTTGGAATTCCTACAGCAGTTGCATTTCCACTTCCAGTCTCAATGAGCAACGAGATGATACTAAACAATGGAGGACTCCCGTGATCCATTGCACGCACTGTTACATTATAGACACACCGAGCAGCAAGCTTCCTTGCCACACTCAAGGTTCCTGTGTACAAATTAATTCTAAATGTCCCATGCGACTCTTTGTTACAGTGGAAAGCCTCTTTGCCATTTGAAACACTTTTCCCTGCGATATCGATGATCGAATACGTTACTTTTCCTCTGAGACTAGTGTCTGGGTCAGCAGCGGTTAGTGTTATGAGCTTGGAGGCTATAGACAAATCCTCTGAAATGTGGATTGGAGACTGAAGACAAGAAAATATTTTGTTGTTGATAACACATATCAGGGCGTCCATATGAGGCCAAAACCTAATTTAAATGGTATTTATAATCAAATGAAATGAATCATATTTTGACGTGCATGTAATACACTCGTAAAAAAAGATGATCCACGTAGGTGAATTACAGAAAAGAAGCCCGAAGAAATACAGGAATGAAGAACCCACTAAAGATTTTCTCACTCCCAGCATGTGGCTTCGTCGCTCAGTTCGTAGTAACTAGTAAATGGGAAGCACGGGCTCGAGTCCCACCTATACCAATGTATGTTCACTGACTTTTACCTGATACACTGTGGGCTCAAACACAGGACTGTTGTCATTGACATCAATCAGAGTCACGATCACCTCGGCAAAACCTTCATGAGGCACCTTCCCACCATCCCTTGCAATCACAGTGAACTCATACACCTTGCAAAAAAAGATGAAAAAAGCGAGTGGGTCATTGGCACTTTAATTGAAAATATTTTATGTTCCTAGTTTGGTAAGAATGAAAAGTAATCTTCGGCCGCAGGTCGACTCACATTCTTCATACTTCATACTCTCAAGGTTGGGGGGGGGATCACACAAGGTTACACGGTCAAACGAAATTTACTCTGATTGTTTGTTTTTTTATCAGAAACCGCCCAGTAAAGCAAAACAGGGTACCCCATTTTTTATGGTGACAGAAATGGTGTTTCGGTGAGGACATTTTCCCGTTGATTTCGGTTAACTTTGTGTTCCTGAGTATCGTAGAAACTGAAAATAGTCAGAAGGAAAAGGGGTTTTTTTGGCATAAAGGACCCCCTAAGCACTAAGCCCGCTGGCGGAGCCCCATACCGAGAAAATGAAGTAACCTGTCAAATTCCGAATAAAATTGGTCGTCACTAGTGACCATACACAATGACCGCGCGATGGAATTTTCTCATGATTAATTGACCAAAAGGAATTTGATTAAAATGAAGCTTTACATGCAGGTTCAGCTAAACTTCTAGATTAGTGTCAGACAGTACTCCTTGAGGATTACAACAAGTTCAACGAGTAATTACAAATTCTTGTTTTATCTGTTTCCAGATGTTTTAATTAAGCGTACCTCTTGTTCCTCTCGGTCAAATGCTCTTGTTGTTAAGATTGTTCCAGTAGTACTGTTCACCTCAAATCTGTTCCTAGCCTCTGGATCGCTATCTGTAGCTATGGTATAAGTTATCCTATGGTTTAAAGAAGAATCCATGTCATTAGCATGAACTGTCAACACAGGAGTCCCAGATGTAATATTCTCATAGACTGCCACAGTATAAGTCTCGGAATCAAACCGCGGTACATTGTCATTTTCGTCATAAATGGCGATGGTGACTACAGCATGCTGTTTGGCTGTGAGAGGGGGTACTCCTCGATCGGTAACGCTGATGATCAAGCGGTAACGTGACACATTCTCATAATCAAGTTTTCTTGCCAAGTAAAGAATTCCTGAGGATTCGTCTATTAGGAAAATGGAATTTTCAGTTGCTGCTGTTATAAAATAGTTTAGAACTCCATTCGACGTACTGTCTTCATCCGTAGCTTGAACTCTGAGCAGCTCCCTTCCAACAGTTGTTACCTCAGAAATAGATATGTTGTAAAGAGAAGGATCGAAGACTGGAAAGTTGTCATTTTCATCAGAAACCTTAATGACAACAGTTGTGAAATCCATGCGTGAGTCAGCGATGCTGACGTCCCGCACAGCCAACTGAAATCGGTAAACCTGCGTCTTTTCAAAGTCCAGGGATTTTCGTACATAGATAATACCCGTAGTTGAATTCACTACAAATTCAAAATCGCGATCTTCTTTCATCACAGAGAAAGCTATCTGACTGTTAGATTTCGAAAGATCAGCATCTATAGCATGTACACGCAAAACAGCCGTTCCGGGCAGCGTGGATTCTGAAATAGTTTCTTCGTAGAACGAGACCTCGAAAATTGGCGAATTGTCATTCATATCTCGAACGGAAATATAAACATGAGCTGGTTCCTCCGCGAATAGTTGCACTTCTCCTTTATCGCGAACAGCTACTGTCAGATGATGCGAAGAGTTCATTTCATGGTCTAAATCTTTTCCAACTTTTAAGGTACCGTCATCATCAACGAAGAACAATTCTTGAGGATCTCCAGTCACAATTGAGTAGACAAGCTGACCGTTAGTTCCAGCGTCCTTATCAGTAGCAGTCAGTTTAAGAATTGAGGTTCCTATCAGTGTCCCTTCAGAAATGGACACGTGGTATCTCAGTGGTTGGAAAACTGGTTTGTACTCGTTTACATCAATCACTGTTACGAGAACTTCGGTGAACGCTGTGTAGTCAGGATCGTGGGCTGATACAAAAAGTGAGTACATTGGTTGTGTTTCACGATCCAGTAGTTTCATGAGGGTTACTTCACCTGAAATTCAGAAAGAATTGAAACAAGGTTGTAGTTAGATATATCGCGGGTATGAGTGGAAAGATGGAGATATCTGGAAACTGTTTCTCAAATAACTTGGGACATTTATTGGCAGGCCCCTGAAAATGATAAAACTTCCCCGGTTATATAGCTCTTGCCTTATCCGTGCGATCAGCTTTCGCTTCGTTCATTATATACTTATTTCCCACAAAACCTTTATAAACGGTGCCAACTGCAAAAATGCACGAGTAATCAAATAACGACTGAGTTTAGTTTTTATATTTTATTGCTTGAGATTTTATTAGACATACCAAAAATCGTATTTGTGCAAGATCCTCGCAGTAAAGAGKACTATTTAAGCAATAGTGAAAATCAGACCTGAAAAATTTCAGGCCTGTACGGGATTCGAACCACTGACCTCTGCGATACTAGTGCAGCGCTCTACCAATTGAGCTAACAAGCCCACGGGGAGCAGGTCATCAAATTAACTCGACATAAACCCGTAAGATGATAAATCAACTGAACACAACGAATATATGAAATTTATATATCTAAACTGCGATTATAGAAACTTATTTGTGCACGATCCCGTGAAGGCCTGAATTTTTTCAGGTCTGATTTTCACTATTGCTTAAATAGTGCTCTTTACTGCGAGGATGGGGCACAAATACGTTTCTATAACCGCAGTTTAGATATATGAATTTCAGATATTAGTTGTGTTTGATACCAAAAAGCGTAAGAACGCGTCTGCACTGAGTGTCGTTGTACCAAAACTGAAGGAACTACAGCAGCCAATTATAACAAAGGGAGCTATCACAACGAACCCATGTGAATTCCGAGTAAAAGCAAACTAAAAAACAAAAGCAATTCCAGATCACTTTCCATACTCAATTAAATTACTCTTCATTATAAAAAATGTAATATTGGATTACTTTCGAATCTCGTTTGAAAATTATTCTATCCACGCGTTTGTTGTTAAACGTTTACAGCTGCCTCGCCAACGTAACAACTCCTCTCTAAGACAATGCCATTACCTACCCGATGACCTGTTTAGGCTGAATGCGTTCGCTCCAGACCCCGCCAGTATTGTATAGGTCACGTGTGCATTAACGCCGACATCGTCATCTCGGGCATGCAATTGCAACAACACGTGACCAATGGAGGCATTCTCAAGAATGCTAACTTCGTATACTTTCTGGCTGAAGATAGGCGCGTTGTCGTTGAGATCACTTACAGCGATATTAACAACGGTAACAGTTTGTGGCGCATGTTCATCTGCATTAATAGCCGTAAGATATAGCTGAAATATAGATACATGTTCTCGATCTAATGGAATAGTAGTGTAGATTCCAAAATAACCTGATGTGGTGTTTGGCCGCAGTACAAAGGAGTTGTTGGTGTTTCCTGAATTGAAACGAACAAACGAAAAGCATTCAATTCGACTAATTTTGCCAAAACCAAATTAATCACAACAGCCCATCAAAGGGAAGAAAAATATCATAAGGTCAAGGAGAATTCAAAAGAGAAAGAATTAAGCATTCTAAAGGCAGGGGAAACGCGAGTAACCGCGTCGCAACAGGTTGCAGTTTTGCATCAAACTGGTTGAGGTGGCAAGAGTTTCCCAAGCAAATCCATGAATCGAAACCCAGGGCATTTCATAATGAGTAGCACTCAACTGAATATTGCTCTCATTTATACTAATAATTTGGTGGGTCGGATAGTTACCTCAGCCAATCACATTGAGTATACTCAAAGAATCCACCAATCACAGAATTGATTACAGTAACCTTGGCAATGGCTTTTTATTCCAAGCTGGGGATTTCTCAATTTCTAAACCTTTTAAGAGTGTTTTTCAGAAGCTGTAATGGTTAAGTTGTTTAAAGATTGGAATTACAAGCCCTTCTTTCAATGAATACATTATGTTTTCCTAGGAAAATTGAAATGGCTACTACGAATTGGTTACAAGACTTGGTGTGGTCCAATTCAGTAATCATACTCGACATAGACCACTTTCATAAATGGCTGCCGGATTAATATTCTTTTGTTTAAATTCAAATTAGCCCTACTGGCCTCGTTCTCCAGTACAAAATTCAAATGAATACATTATCTCAAGCGAGGCCAGTGGGGCTAATTTAAATTTAAACAAAACAATATTTATACGGCAGCCATTTATGAAAGTGGGCTATTGAAAATTTCATTAGACTCGAATAGCTCAATGACTCGTATGAATACAGACTGAAATTAACTCCACACGGTCGTATTACCATTATTGATATGAATATTTCTCTCGCAGTTTAAAGCAAAACTGTGTATTTACAAACAAGTAACACTCCATATGACAAACCTGAAATAATCCTGAGAAAGACTTTTGCATAGGTGCTGTGTTTACTCTCTGCCCTCACTGAAATGTTCAGAGTCGGTTGAGACGCAGGACCGTTTTCATTTACAGATACCGTGTAGTTAAGAGAATCAAACACTGGTTGAGGATCTGAAATTTAACCCGCTGCTGGTCAGCTTATGTTTAGGTAAATTTTCTTAAGTAAACCTCTTTGGGGTCAATGCAATAATTAATAGCCTAGGAGATTGTGTAAAGATATAAGGTATTTATCCAAAAGCTACATACTCTAATTAACAAATGGTAAACACCACAGCGTACACTATTGAGTTATGAATGCACGCGGGAGGTTGCTAAGCACGAAAGATGCGTAAGAGTAAAAGTGTCAGGACAATTCTCCACCGCAGCAGCAAAGTCATTATTGAAAACTTTCCTTCTATAATGCGCCGTGATTTTCCTACTTAACCGATTAGCGTTTGTGAGAATTTCGATTAGGTCTCAAGGATATATATGGACGAAGATATGCAAATCTTTAATACGTGTAGAGTCACGGAATGGATTCCATTGAGCTGTATCATTGATTGTACCACTTACCATACACGATCAGACGAGCAATGTTTGAGCTCATTGTTTGGGGAGATATCACAGCCACGCAGGCGTATGCTCCGCTGTCCTCTACTGCTCCATTGGTGACAGCTAGCGAGTTGGAAGTTGCATTCGGCAGCACCTGACAAATCAGAATGAGTTACCTAGTCAGCTAAGCGTGATCAGATCAACCAAGGTAAGTGAATCAAATGTTTTTAGTAACGACTAAAGTGAAGTACTTCTCGATTCAATGTGTTTATTTGCTTTCATTTTTAAACCGACAAAGTAGCACAGAAAATTGATTTGATCATAGTCCTGAGTTTCCTTTCTACAACCGACAATTGTGAAGACTTTCTCAAATAATCAAGAAAGTAATGTTGTATCTTAGCCACCTGGTAATCTTTAAGCCAGCGATAGAGCGGTAAAATCTCTCCGACAGCCTCACATGTCCACGTGACTGAACTGCCAACCCTTGTTCGGAGGTAAGCAGGAGTCAGCTGTTGGATGAGGGCAGGTCCACTGTTAGGACACAGCAGAGGACTGCCTGTGGAAACTATAGTGAAAAGAGATGAATACAATGAAGGGAACCAAAACTCGACTTTTCTTTTCATCGTACGTAACAAATCCTTCCACGTGAAAAAGTCTTCCATGACATCAAGTGTCCTCCGTTTTGCCATCCTACAACCTTTTTTTTCAAGTAATATGCCAGCAAAACAAGGAAGTAACAGAACATGTTCTTTAGCTGCTAAGAATATATTTTACCAGCAATTTCTTTTCATTATTATTATGACTGTGAAGGTGTAGTCTGATCGTCCGGGTGAGTGTAGTCCTGAGAAGGACTGTTGTCGGTGGTAGTGACTGACGTTTCGACAACCTGTGCGGAAGTCATCATCAGAGTCAAGTGAATGATTGTTGTCAGTAGAATGTTCTTATTCCAGTTCGTGTGAAATGATCGGTTGGTTTTGCCGTGATGTTATTGGCTGTAAGACTCAAGTGACGTAAGTCGGTCGTGATTGGTCTGTTTCGATCTGTCGGTAAAGTTAGGTCGTTCTTTTTCGGTCGTTTGTGATGTTTATGTCGTGAATGAGTCGTTTGTATGGAGCGGGTAGTTGTTGACATCTGTTTAGGGGAGTCTGTTCTAAGTTAGTAAACCAGCTTTCCAGAGTCAGTCGTTGAAAATAGTCAGTGCTGTAGGTTAGGCATTGCGCAGAGTCCCAGTCAATGTTGTGGTTGGTAAGTCGATGGTGTTCAGCAATGTGATTGCTGACATCACCTTTCCTCGTCGCCCGTCTGTGTTCAGTCAGTCTTGTTGTGAGGTTTCTGCCAGTCTCACCGATGTAGGAGGCTTGGCAGTCGGAACAATTGATCTTATAAATCGTTCCCTGTCTGTTCCTCGGTTCGTCTTTGTCTTTAACGTTGGTTAGTAACTGACGTAGTGTGGTGATGGGTTTGTGGGCGACGCGGATATTGAAGGGTAGTAAGATGCGCGAGATGTTTTCAGACATACCTTTTATGTACGGTATGGTTGCTGTAGTCGTAGGGGTTGCGGTGTCGTTTGTTTCGGTAGTGGTAGTGGGTCGGTGAGTGTTTCGTCGGATGAAGTCGTTGTTGTAGTTGTTCTTCGTAAAAACACGGTGAAGGTATTTGTTCTCGTCGGATAAGCTGTCTGTCGAGTCACATACTAGTTGTGCGCGTCGTGTTAGAGTTCTGATAGTTGTGGCTTTGTGTGATGTAGGGTTGTAGGATGACTCGTCTAGTAATCTGTCGGTGTGTGTCGGTTTCCTGTAAACTGTCGTTCGTAATGAGTTGTCGTTGTGGCTTACCAGGCAGTCTAGAAAAGGAAGTTTGCCATTTTCTTCGACTTCTCTGGTAAACTGTATGTCAGTGTTTTGTTCGTTAAGGTGGTTGTGGAATGCGTCAATTTCGTCGTGTCGAACGGCGGTGAATGTGTCGTCAACGTAACGTAACCAAAGCGGTATCGTTTGTCGGCAAGTCGAAAGGGCGCGTTCCTCGATGTTCTGCATCACAATTTCTGCTATAACAACAGAAACTGGAGACCCCATGGCAGTGCCGTGTAACTGTTTGTAGTGTTTACCGTTGTACTGAAAGTAAGTAGACGTTAGGCAAATGTTTAGCAAGTCCATGATGTCGTCTGTCGGTAGCGGTAGTGGNGCCTCCAAAAAACTGCACAATTTTCATTTTTTTCCTGCACCCTATCAGAGGGCCAGTCATAAGATCTGTATGATAGGCAGTATATATATCTTATTAACCAAGCGCGAGGGCCGTACTGGGAGAATATCGGCCCGAGGTCTTGACAGTACGGACCGAGCGCAGCGAGGTCCGTACAAAAAAGACCGAGGGCCGATATTCTTCCAGTACGGTCCTGAGCAAGCTTGCTTAATAAGAGATTTATTATACGACTGAAGTTCAAAGGGACACAAGTGCGGTATCATTCGGGACCATTCGGGACAGTGCCGGGTCCAATACTGAGAGAATATTGACCGGTAATAGAGTATTTTGATTGGTTGATTTTAGTTATTGGCCCTCTGACTGCCCGAGTCGTGTAACAAATAAATATAATCACTTACCATCCCTTTATTCCCGAGCATTGTGAAATCAAATTCACAGTTACAATATAAACACCTGGGTTGAAGACAACAAAAGCTCCATTTCCGGAGAAGCCGCTTATTGTTGTGAAATAGCCAGGACGCTCGGTTATGTTCCAGTTTCCAACTCGCACCCATTCGGAAAGCCTTCGGCCAGAAACGGAAACGTTCGATTCGACGCGAGCAAGAAATCCTTGTACGACATCTGATGGGGGAACTGGTTTAAGGTATAAATTGGACTTGCTGGAGTGTCTTGAGACTATCCAGCGGTCTTCATCGTTTGAATAAACGTGTACTGACACAACTGTGCCCTTATTGAGTGCTAAAGGAACAGCGAGATTTAATGAACAAAGCTCGCCATTGACGCATGTCTTCTTGGACACAACCGCTGTGTCGTTTCCGTTGTTGATAACAATACCAATAATTGCCAAACCACTCGTTTCCAAAAGCTGAATGTTTCCCGTGGCAAAGTAAATACCACTTTTAAAAACCCAAAACCTGTCTGTGGTCTGGTGAATAGAGCCCACTTGGAACTGCCCATTCACGCCAGTAGTTTTCCAGCTAACGAGTTCTTTCCATCCATTTGAGATAAAGGTGACATCGCTGTAACGATCAGCCATGTTCCCTTCTGTTCTATCGCTCTCTGACATAAAGCGCATGGTGAAATAACTTCCTTCGCTTATTTGGAAAGAGGAATTTTTCGATCTCACCATTACACTGACAGTCATACCTCGTAACAGCCTCATACTACCGCTGACCGCAACGACTGCATGAGCACCGCGTTTGACAAAACAACTCGACACCAGTCCACCAGCTGGAGAAGTTTTATCGTTCACGGTAATCTGAAGAAAAGCCATTGCGTACACTTGAGCGTATTTTATCACCACACTTGCTGAGGCGAGATAAATTCCTGATAATGGAACCTTAAAGTTTCCCGCAAGAGAACTGAAGCCATGCCCATCTATATGAAGACCACTGACACCAGATGTTTCCCAGCCTGTTATTTCTTCCCAGCTGGATCGTCTGGTTGTTTGGAAATCGCTTACACGGGCGTAAAATCCTGCTTCTTCGATTGGGTAAATGAGTCGTGCCATTGAGAATCCACTCCCCTCCCAAACTGTGAATGGTGTAAAACTGCCTGATCTTACAGCCACGTGAATCTTCCGGCCTTTTTCGAGGAAAGCAGCTCCAGTGAACAACAAAGTGTACTTTCCTTGTGACTGCAGTTTGTGTTCAGCGGCTGAGAAGCCGGTTATGAGTTCTTGTGAATCCCTTCCTTTGCTATCAGAAACCCTAACAGTTACTTCACATGATTCCGGAGTGTTCGATATAATAATGTTGGCTGATAAGAAGTAAATCCCAGCATGCTTTATGTTCAAGTCTCCACTAAGTGCCTCGTAATTAAAACTACCATCATTTTTAAGAAAGAGGCCATTTGTAAGGTCAGACTGCGTTGCCCAGCCACCAATTTTGGACCACCTTCCAAGATCTAAACTTTTAATCCTTGTGTCACTTTTCCTGGACAAAAATCCAACGTTTCCATATGAAATTTCAGATGGACTCACCAAGAACATTGACAAACTGCTGGTATTTTCAACTCTCCAGTCGGAATCCATATTGGCGCGTGCACGAATTACAGTGTAGTCTCCACGCCTTAGTTGCACCGTTCCAGAGACTGTAACGGTTACGACGTCATTACCCATCGGTGTGTTCTTGCCTTTGATGTAATAAGTATTTTGCAGACCATTGGAAAGAGAAGTTTGGCCATTAACTCCAATATAAACGTCAATGTAAGAACCAGAATAGTCGACATCGACATCCCTTGTGACAAGCATACACGATACAAAGTAGATACCGCTGATAGGGGCCACATAAACTCCGCGGACGCTGTCAAATCCATCGCCATTTTCAAATGCAGCTTTTCTTTCACCACCGGGTTTTGACCACTCGTCAATTTCTACCCAATTCGTTGTCCTAATTGTCGACTGACTTCCTTTAATGGCGTGAAAACTTGGAATTGCAAAAGATTTACCAATGAAAACCACAGAGAACCCACTCTTTTCTAAGACTTCAAAGGTGTCATTGCTTTCTGAGCGGACGTATACCGATAGCTTTTGCCCATTTTCAAGGCTAAGGGAGCCTGCGATATTAATAGTCAGCTGGGTTGGCGGGTAGGCGTGAGTTGCAAACAAGCCGTTACCTTCGTTTGGTTGTTCATCAATAGCGATTGCTGCTGAAACGTGACTTGAAGTGCACATGATCAGATTGGTGGAAACAAAATAAACCCCAGGAGATGTGATCAGGAACCGGGAGCGTCTCTCTCGAAAATTTGAGCAAAAGGAGAAAGCTCCTTCGCCAGTTTGTTTCCAGTCTCTTATCTCATTCCACGCACCTCCCACAATCGCATGTCTTCTATCAAGAAAGCTATTTGCCGCAGGCCAGTAATGGCGGGTTTTCATGACAGAAACCCCACTCCCTCGTTCAATAAACCAGCTCCCAGGGAAACTTGAATGAACGAAAACTAAAAGATGCTGACCTTTGCTGAGTTCTAGCAGACCTGAAAGGGACAACGATGTGTATGTGGATGGTTCAGCATTGTAACGTGTCACGTACAGGCCGGCGTGTCCGTCCAGTTTGGAAGTGCCACTTGATTTAACCAGCAATTCAAAGTTTCCTCTTCCACCGCGAACGAGCAGAGACACCTAATATAGAAATATGACGCGCTTTTTCGATTGAAGTTTATACTTTGTATTAAAATGATTGAAATGTTACCTTCGTTCTATAAATGACAACTTTAACCTACTCAGATCGATATCTCCGCTGGACACTTATAAACCTGCTGAGGCGCATCAGCTCCCGTTTACTTTACAGACTTTACACTCCTACTATCAACGATGCTTGTGTTACGACCCATAACCATTGGGTTGCAAGTTTGATTTGAATTTAAGATACAGGACCCTTTTTAAGAAACACGACACAATCAGCTGGACTAAGTTTTGGCCTGGTTACCTTGCAGTGTTTTGTCAAGCCTCCTTGACAGTTTGCTTGTACCCATTTCTACTCCTCAGAGGAGTAGGGGATGTTAAAGGATAGTATGTTAGCTTTTATTAAAAACTGGATCATTGAATAATGCTATTCAAGACTTTTTATTGGTTTAGCCATTATGGTTTATGAGCCAATATACCATAATCTACAAATATGGTAAGCGTACGCGTCAGCTTAAAATTTGATGAATTATTTTATAAATTCTTAAAGAGACATTGATTCTTTTGAAGCTGTATTATAATCTAGTTTTATTGTATTTATAATCTTTGAATAGTTACATTGTTCGACTAGTTAGTTCTATTTTTAATCTCTATGGCTTAGAATATATTACTTACTTTAGTTTTGAGGGCCACTGGTTTATCAGCGCAAGCTGTTATGTGTATACCCTCTTTAAATAAAGTCGATTATTATTATTATTATTATTATTAAATTAAAAGGGAGCTAAAAAATTTAATAAAATTTAATAATTTTTATTTAACGTTTTTAATAAAACAATTATTCAACTCGCGCTTGTTGGGTATGAGATGATTATTGCCAACTCGGCGCTACGCGCCTCATTGGCTATCTATCATCTCATATCCAACAAGCGCTCGTGAAATAATTGTTAAATAGCACAATACACTGACTCACCACTAACCATTTGGTCACCAGTTGAAATTTTACCAACATAATTCATGTTACGCCACAACTGATGATTGGATAGTAGAAGAATAAAGGAAAGAAAGAACGGAGAGACGAAACTTACAGCTATGTAGTATACTCCTCCCTGGGTACAGCTGAACCTCCCTCTTCGAAACACTTCTGGGTTGTAAAACTGAACGTGCGCATTGAGAGGAATGGCCCAGGTAGATATTTCCATCCAACCAGTACCTGGAATTTCATTGATAGTTTGAGTAACAGTAGACAAACCTTGATGGGAGCTCTGATTAAAGGTGTCGATGTAACTTAGAGAAAATCCGCTGTTCTGATGAATCGAAAGCTTTGCAGTTGGGTTGGAAGAGTTGATATTAAGTGAAATTTTGTCTCCTTTTTTGAAGTAAAACACCCCATGTAAGTTCATAGTGAAAATTGTATCAGCACCAACAACACTTTCAACAAGAGGAGGATCAAGAACGTTGCCGCTGACCGACAAATACAGTTTGTACAAGCCCGGTCCAGCTTGTACCCGAACATTTGAGGCTACAAAGTAGATACCGTCGCAAATTGGTACAAATTCTCCCGTGGATGTCGAAAATCCAGCGAGGCTTTCAAACAATCCCTGGGAACTACTTGTCTCCCAGTTGCGAAGAATTTGTGACAAGGGAAATGGACTAAACGTTATTGCACCCTGTTTTATAGCGGAAAATGCCGGGAACGATCCAACAGAACCAGAATAACGTAAGGAAAACTGGCTGTCATCTTCAATGAACCAATCTGTGTCTTCTTCTGAATGAATGAAAACAGAGATTCGATCTCCTGATCTCAGGTCCATGAATCCACTGACAGTTAAACTGAAGTCTGCTCCTGGCTGACCTTGCTTGACAGCATTCATTGCTTTGTTTCGCTTGTCTATCTGTCCATTCAAGATGAAAGCTGCTTGGAACACTCCGATGTCCGCTTGAGACAAATGCACACTGACTGAGACAAAGTATATTCCCGACTTCGGCAGCTCAAACCTTGACTGCTTATTCACTAAGGGTGCCCCAAATAGAAAGTGCCCAGTGTCCGACGACCGAGTATGAGCCCACCCCCTGACCTCTGACCACCCACTCGTTGACTGAGGCATTCGTGCTCGTAGAACAAGACTGATTCCAATCTCGGGAAATGCTGTAGACGAAGAATTAATTGTAATGTGATATAGCATTTTAAAGATCGTGACGTTTGAATGTGAAATCGTAGCACGCATCATTTAGCCATTAGCTTGAAAGTTAACAGATAAATCTTAGATATCTATTGTAAATGATGGTAAATTTCTGTTGGTCCTGCTCTTTGGTTTGGAGTTCGTAAATAGATGGGCGACTTCGAGAAAGAAAGCCGTTCGGTGAATTATTTTTTTCTAAAAAGAAAAAGTTGCGAAAGTTTTTTGAAACTGATATTTCAAACCAACTTCAAATTCACTTGAGATGTACTGCCTGTAAATAAAAACAATACGAAATAACATGAAACAATTGATCTGGAAGCGATCTCCGCAGCAATTTCTCAATCCGCGGTTCTCGTATATGATTTTCATAAATTCACAGTCATTTAACATGAAACAAATTGGTGGCATTTCGGTTTACTGAGTATTCTACGTAGACCCTATGTAATGTCACTTAAATGATGCATTCCGTGGCTCTTCATGTTACATGAGGACTTCCTGTTCAGACACAAGATGAGTGTCGTTTGATTACGCCTTTCAGACATGCCCAATTTTCTAGTTTTCTATATACAGCTAGCTGCACAGGTCAGTTATAAATTAAATAGTCTTACACATGCGATATCTGAGAAAAAAATTGCGGTCCGTTAAGAAGGAAAAGTAACCTGTGCTCATTCTTTATTGATGAAGGAAGAATTTTCCCGCAACAGGTCCGAACACAAGCATTGGATCTGTTTATTTCAGACAACGCTAGATTTACAAACAGCGAAGATGAAGAATTCAATGCCCTTTCTACTCGAGCTCATCTAAAGTGAAAATCATGAAAATTTATTCTTATCAACGCAAACCTGCGTTTTTAAAACACTTGTTATCGTCTAATGCTACATGTTAACCAATAATAGCTTACCTATTAGCAAAGTACTCGTTGGTTATATCAACATATTTCTGTGGTTGACAAAATAACAAACTACTGACGAGGCATGGTGCCTATCTACGAAAATAAATATCAGATATTTTTGAAAAGAGAGGACTATCCAAAACTTCAGTGATTTTTTTTTTTGTTTTTATCTAATCTTTTGCCTAAAAATGAAATTATTTGCTCCCATCGACATCGTCACAGCACAATTTCAAATTATACTCACAGTGAGAAATTCCTCACAGAGTGAGCAAAAGCTTCATAATTTCACTTTCCTGTCTCAGTACTGTATTCTATGATTGAAACTCGAACGATCAGTTATGCGTTGCTACGATGGTAGAAATATTTTAATGGTGATTGTTCCCAAGCATATTAAAAATAGATTGGGCCAAGTCAGAAAAGCTGTCATAAGTCTTAGTTGAAGTCAAGTTAGTAGTTTACAGCACGAATAACAAGTCAAAATCCATCCCACCTGTTAAAGTTAAGAACTTGCTCACCACAAAAACTAAGTGCGCGACAAAGATAGATCGTAAATAGTTATAATGCATCTTCAGTCCCTCTAACTGCAACACCTGTTATCACCCTCCGTTAAAAGATCTGGAATCCGAAACTTTCTCGGTCTTCTGGCCAACTTCCGCCATGATTATGCGAGATGATTATGAGATGATATTGAGGAAGATGCGTGTGCAGTTGTTTAGCATAAAGAAAAGTCCTCCTTAGTTGTTAAAACAAGACCACTTGCCGATAAGTCGTTAGTATTATTCATCAAACGTCAAAATATCTGCACAGGGAGTATATGGCTCTAACTGAGTCAAAAGCGAGCTTCAAAATATCAAATCTAACTGCTGCTAATTTAACAGTTTTTTCCTCAAGTAACGACTCTGAAAAACTTCGCATATGGTACGAATTAAATCTAATTAGTATTCAATAAAACAGTTATCTGCTCCAATTTGGATAACTCCATATCTTTGCAATGAGTTTTACAATTAGGTTGGTTGCACAGAACTTAACTTTTTTAGTTGCAGAATGTTAGGTGTGTTGAATGGTTTTTGGCGCCTGCATCTATAACATAACCGAGCTATTTCAAATGTGATATTGCTGAATTTGCTTGTACTTTTTTCGAAAAAAAGTCATTTAAAATTTACCTATACGGTTAACAGATACGAGTAAGAGGATGTAAACAAATCTTTTTCACAGCCAATCCGTAGCATTATTTGACAAAAACACGCAGGGGGGCATATGAATGTCATAGATTGATTTTTTCAGACACTGAGTTACGCAGTTTTCCGATAGCGCTCTTTTGTTTCTCTATTGAAATAACCTTTTTGTTTATGAGTGTATCCGAACTTCTAATTTCAACTGAACTACATCTGCCTATCATATTTTAAATAAACTCCTTTCCGAGGCAAAAATGCCTTCTCTGAATCCTGCCGCTGACATTTACATAATATTCTGGAAGTACTTTACCATCTTTCTTATTCTATTTACCTTTATAAAGTTTACATACGATGGATGATAAACATTCATTTTTTATGCAACATGGTCAAGGCAAAACAGCAGTGGCATATCTTACCAACAAGAAATTTTGAATAAAAACAATAAATCACTAACTAAATTAAGGTTACAGTTTAAATTATAAATTCAAATCACACTGTTAAAAACATCCCAGTCTTTGATGTGTTTTCCACAACTTGGATCGATAAAGATTTCACCTGCCGATTAAACTGGGCGCGGTACAAATTATTCCTAAATTTCTGTTTAAAACTCAAAAGGGAACACATAATGTACAAATACAGTAAAAAGGAAACACACAAAACCTGTAAGACATAAAGGACGGAGCAGTTCTGTTCAAGGTTGTGATGGCAGCAATTCTTGCTCGCTTTTGATATATTTGGCTAATTTTTTTTTCTCTTTTGTTATCTTTCCTCCTACTAGGTTTTTCCTCTTTCGTTTCCTCGTTTGAAAAAAAAAACGCCAATCGTCAAAAGGAACCTTTCTCAATTTCTTATCTTTTGCTGATTGCTGAGTGGTACATAGTTCATGAACAACCTCAGAGTCGTGTCTTCTAAAGAGTCCCCTTTTTGGATTGAATTTTTAACGAATCGGCACTGATAAGAGTAAACTAACTTATAAACTTGCCTACAACTTCACCGTTTTACAAATTCAGACGGTCACTAGATCCAGATAGTAATTCAAGAAAAATAGGGAGCTCTAAAAATTTATTACATATAAAACTAATATGCAAAAATACGGATAGAGAGAAAAGTAAGTTGATTCAAGAACTTTGTAAAGAATGAATTTTATGGGAAGAAAGACTAAGTCCAAAAGTCAAATATCATTTTCATAAACTCAGAAGTCCTCAATATCATTTTTATAAACCAAAAAGTTGTTAAATATCGTTTTTATAAAATCAAAACTCTTTAAATATAACTTACCTCGATAGTGATCTGCCAAAAGTGGCGATCCTGTGACAGCAAACATTAAATTCAAAATTGAAAAATAAGATGATACGCATAGAGAGAACAGACTTTTAAAACACGCCATCTTTATCAATTTAGAGATGATGTAAAACGTTCTCTTCCGAAAGTTGGCCGTCATGGAACACCTCGGTGTATAGGTCTTGCTCCTTGTGCCTAGTAGATTGAATCCAATTAACCAAATACTATTTGAATACAGTATTTCAAGGGAAATCTTTTCAGTGGGCAATAACTCAGTGAACTTTTTAATAGTGAGTTCTTCATCATTGTAGTAAATAGTTAATAAAATGTCAACTCTTGCAGGAAATACGAATGTCGCTGTTGGTATCGAAAAATTAATTTAACTGGCTTATTGTGCCATAAGATCTTTTGCTTGACATCACAAATTTCTAACTGCGGATTTTGTTTATTCATTAAAATCAAAGACAAACATTCTTCTTTTCCCTAGGTTCGGTTATTACTGATTGTGTCACCAACACAAAGATGGGTCAAGAAAAACAGCTGCTGTGAGTATTGATGAACAAAAGCACAGTGGAAGTGTCGGGAATTGCTTTTGGTGCCGAGGTAAGCTTCTTTCTCCTTGTCACGCTCAATAAAACGGAAAAAGATTGGGAAAAACGAACGAAACTCGTGCATGAGCGTCAGTCAAATCTTTGAGCAACTTTAATACCACATGGGAAAGGGAGCGGAAAGGAAACTTGGCGTGTGAAAATGGTAGTTCGTCTTTGAAGGCGTTATTACGAAATGTCTTTAGACTGTTTGACATACTCTTCAAGATAGAGAAACAAGGACAGATATGCTTAGAGGCCTATATGGCTGTTTTACAAAATTGCAGCACAAAACAATTGTCGAAATCAAAATCAAAATTTAGAATAAGCACATTTGCTCTTTACATTTAGGGACTCAGTTATTGCTGAATAAATTTTTATTATATATGTCATTCACTAAATGAATAAGAAGGAACAAATAGCTTGTATTACTTCTCCTAGTTCCCTGCTGCGTTACTAGTCTTTTGAAGCCGGAAACTTCTCATACAAACTTATTTCAACAAATGTTACATTTTAATAAATAAAAATAACTTACAGATAATTCTCTCCAACAAAAACTGTTATCTCTGAAGAATTTTCCTGTGTTACGTATGCGTAGTACGTAAGGCTGATTTCTCATTTCTCATTTGTTAAACCTGATCATCTATCTCACGATTTTGGGTTGACAACGAGGAAAACACAATTCAATACAGCATTTGATTTGCGTTAAGTAATCTCAGATATTTTAATTATACAGTAGTTCTGGAGAAGATTTGATGGATTTCTTGAAAGGACCCCTTGATGGATCTTCAATGTCATTTCACTTTATTTACAAGTGGATTATTTATCCTGGATTCGTGTTTGTCAATTATTCGTCTCTCGATCTTTAGTTGATAGTTATTGCTTCTGCTTCCACCGTGAGTCAGCACCAGTGTCCTCTGACTCCCCTGAGCCAGCACCAAATCATTTTTGACCAGCGGTAAGAGCTTTTCGGACGATTTTGAGGTAGGTGAAGGAAGAGGTACGGGTGAACCACGGGGCGTGTCGTGCGCTGATTGTTTTCTTGATGATGGGCTCTGACATCGACTTCGTGAATTTACTGCAGAATAATCAGAGCTGTGCGGTCTTGAAGTCCCGGCTTAAACAAAATAAAATGTACATGATGTTTACTAAATCATTAATCATCAAACTAATTATAAAAATCACCTTCTCCTCCTTCAAACAGTAGCAATATTAGAGGTGATCCCACATTCTCATCTCTATCGTCATAAACGACAAGACAGTTAATTAACTGCTTTCCCATAACCACGCAATGGAAAAGAACGCACTTTTCTTAATTTAGTATTTCAAGAAATCTGGCATAGCTTTAGGTTTGCTCTACTTCATTATGTGATTGGTCTAGAGCACTTGCACCACTTTCTGGACCATTTAGATTCAAAACTAAAACTAATCGTGTTTTCCCCCGCTTCAGTAATTTTGCAAGTTTTTTACTCATTACCTCCCGATTGTATCTTCCGCTCTTCTGATTAGCGGTCATGATTACCTTTGTTCTGGTTATGCAACAGTCGAAATGAGCTCCGACGAAAATGCAAAGCTTTCTCAGCTTAACACTACTGACCTGCAACAATTGGTTTGGTGACTTGGACAGACACCCATCCTTCCTCAGGAAAGTACTCCCACCTGGAATTTACTGATGGCCACATTTTTACCGAGCCCAGCGGTGACGGAACTTGGGATGACCTGACCTTATGTGAGCGAGCAGATCCTTTAGCTGTCTCTAAGCGTGCAATATGCCTAACCACAACATTATCTACAACATTCTCTCTGTATGTCCTCCAGTCGCTTTGCTGAAGATATGTCTGACACAGGAAGCTATCTTTGGGATAATTGGTTGTTAATCGTTTAAGTTTATCAAGAGTTTCAGCGTCTGAATATTTGAAGAAAACTTCTTTAGCTACTTTGACTACTTCACAGCCGGCACTGACCAAAGTAAAGCGTCTGTCCCTTGGTTTATTCTCCTTAGTCTGCCTCTTAAAACTTTTCTTCTTATGGCTGTGCAGGTCTCGTTCATTTTGTTGTGAAGGGGGGGAAGCCTTCTCAGCCTTAGGCAAGAATTGATCTTCTTGCTCCAACAAAGACCACGCACCCTGAAAATGGAGAATAACAGAAAGATTGTGACCATGCTCAAGCTGAACAGCAATAGCAGGTTTGCAGACACAGACAAGAGAGGATACAAGATAAGGTCAGGTTAAAAGCCATCAGTCAATCCTACCGGAGCATACCCAGGCTCAGAAACATGACACCCTACTTTTATCGCTACTTTCCCTAGGTTCGATGTCAGTCCACTGCAGGACTACGCCTCAGCAATTCTTCAGGCTTTGTCGACTGTTTTTCAGTATCACTACCTGAGCTCAAACCCGAATCTTTCGTTCCAGAGTCCAGCGCACAAGACAACAAGCCACCGTGTCTGACACCTACTCGATAAGTTATCAGTGTCAAGTTACTTTTAAACGTATTGCATCTGGTCTGCAGGGAATGATGAAACATGAAGCTTGACTGGTGGTGATGTCACATGGAATTTATACGGTCAGCAGAAGTGGTTACATCTACATCCTTCTGGGATCTCCGAAAACGGGGGTACTGAACATAACTACAAAAATTTTTTCAGTCTTTTAGCTTGATAACCACACACTCCATAGTTAGTCGAGACATGAAGATCCAACAGTCAATTACACTTTGCTTAGGGCGAAATTTTTAAAATGAAAAAGGCAAACACTACTCCATGCTAACCACAGTACCTCAGTTCTAGCTATTTTACACGAGATGTATGATTCACCAAAATAGATGAGGAAATAAACTGACAATATCAGGTAAGGAGTTTTACTCACAAAACATTGACCTGGTCTCAATCGATCCACCATCATATAAACTCCAACACCAACATTCTCGCCCTCTGCGTGTTTCTCACGGAATCCCTCCTCCGGCCCATTCATTTGGTGTAGCATTCCCGAGGGTTTGGGAGATCTTGGTGGAGATTCGGAAGGTTGCAAAAGTTCTTTTTCTACACCGGGTAGTTCTCTGTTTTCATCCTGGAAACTCACTCTACTCCGTAGCGACTTTCCTCTTGCGCTTTCCGAGTGTAAGATTCCTTTTACCGGCTGTGACACTGTCATTATTGGTTGATGCAAACCTGAGTTTGTATAGGGAGGAGCCGATTTCACTTTCTTTCTTATTTTATTTTCGGAGCTCGCAGCGGAGGAGTTTTCTTCGGGACTTTTAACTCTTGGAGGAAATCGCCGTAAAACTACTGAGCTTAAAGAGATGTCCTCCACATCAGGGTTGTAAATTGTAGACCCATCTTCTTTTATTTTCTCCACCCTATATTTCAAGGCGTGGTCGATGTATTCCTTACAGTTACTGAGGTCTAACAGCCTCAATACGTTGCACTGACCCTTGATGAGGCAATAGGAAAAGCATAGATTTTTAAACCTCAGTAGTTGTCCGGCTAATTCATTTTTATGGCTCTGTTTAGAAAAGGTTTATTCCACCACAAGTTGAGAATAGACTAACTTTACAGTTCACGGAAATAATAAGTAAATAATGCTTATATTTGATCTGAGTGCTTTTCAAGAGGAAAAGGAGTGGGCGCGGAATGTGTCACTAAAGAAATGCATTATTGATTCAGCAGAGCCACCTGGAATAGCTCACATTTAGAAGTGGAAAGATAAATACGATAAAAAACTCACCTAAATTAGAAAAAGTGAAGCTCAAGTCAAGGGAGCTTCTAAAAAGCTGCAGTACCGTTCAGATAACTTATTGCTCGAGGAAAAGATCCTTAAAAACCGAAACACCTATCTCATTGCGGAAAATGGGTAAGAATGAGAGAAAATTGAGCAAACCACGGAGAAACCAGGCTCAAGTTAGCGAACTGAAAGTATTTTGAAAAGGATTAGAGGGAAACAATAAAACATTGCTGCTAGTAGACGGAAAAAAGGTCGGTTGTGACTTGTTGATGAGTTACCATTTTCTTTAGTAATGGAGCTACGTTGCGCGCACTATGCATGCTGTAATCCCCACTAGATAGCAACCACACGTTTTTGTTGTGGTCAATTGTGACTTATGAACCTGCAGAAAAGATCAAAGACGTACTGATCATGGAACTTGAGCTTAGTTAAGTTATAGTGCTAGCCCCCATTCCATCTCCTTAAGTTCTTACCTTGGTGACGAATACTATCCGCTGCATCTTGGACGAATCACGAATAATCACTTCATCGCTATTATAGTCCTGTAGTATGCTCTCCTCTGCAACCTGTTTCACCACATCTGAAGGCCACGTGCTAAACACGTGATGCTCCCTAAGAGTTAAAAAAATCGTCCGCTTTGTCGTTTTCTTTTTTTCTTGGATTATCCAAAGGTTAAAATAGAATTTCTCTCAAATTTATTGGTGTTGTCGAGACTGCTTGATCAAAAATATTTTGTGCCTTGTAATCAATTGGGTAAAGATGTTTTACAGGAAACATTTCTATTCCTTTAAGACTTGTTAAAACGTGTAATTGAAACGCTTTTCTAAGTCATAACTCCTTGAGTCACTGTTATCTGCTTGTGTCTATCATGTTATTCATAGGATACCCTAAAACCCAAATGCTGGCTCCACTGCCTTAGTTGGGGGTACACACTAGCTGCCCGTTTTTTCCACCTGTTGGTTTTTAAGGGCTTTCGTGTCCGGCATTGGTGCATTCAGTTTCCTTCAATCGTAAGCATATTTTGTAAGCATACTGGTGTTGTTAAAAACGGTACGGTGGCTTGGCTGGCCGACGCGGCCAGATATCAACACTCTGTGTGCCCGGTTGAGCAGCGGAAGCAAAATAAATTAAGCGCATTCTCCCTAAAGTTTACACTAAACAAACGTAGAATGATACCTACGGTTGTCCAAGAAAAAGAATGTGAGATATCCAGATGCCTAATGCATCATATCGTCTGACAATTAATTCTCCTTACTTTAGCAATTCCACTCGTCGTTGCATGTCTTCGTTGAAGGACACGTCAATCTTAGCGGAAAAGAAATCGTCTCTTTCAACGGACAGTAACTCAGTTCTTTCTAGACAAACTACTGTGGCCGCCCTTTTCAGTCCACGAATAAAAGCGAGTTCCTGTTAAAAGGAAGCATTAACCAGCGAATGTTAAAACAACAGTCGACTTAATGATCTTGGGTTAAATAAGGATGGCATAGGATACATGATTGCATTAAGGAAGATATCCTCTAAATTACAATCACACATAATGAATATCTATTTACACACATTTTTTTTCATTCTATTCTGTCTTTTCAACTTTAAGTGGCATACCCCAAAGTGATCCCCCCTTCTTAGCAAGATAGATGGTTTAACAAGTGCGCTGTGTTCGTCATCATCAACTGTCACACATACTGAACCACTGAATACAAAGTAGAACCGTTGGGCATGGTGACCTTTCCGAATTACCACACGACTTCGTCCAAAGCTGCGAAACAGACATTCCATTTGAATATTGTTACATTAATGTGCCTTGTTGTTTACAGCAAAGTGAAGCTACTTCAGTACTACTTCTGAGCTTTAATTCTCTTCTCAAGCTCATTCATTATTCATAAGGTGATCATCGAACCAACACACGCCAATTTCGTCACGTGCATATGGTTTGAAACCCCGGTGAAAGACAGGAATGACGCGTTATCCATGAGTTTCAAATGATATCAAACCCTTGAGTTTGATAACGCATCAAACTCTAAGGAACTCATTTCTTAATTTGAATAACAACAACAAACCTGCCGACAACATAGGAAAAATTCGTGAATATTTTCATATTCTTTTATTTCCGAGGCGCATTTGAGAAGCTATTTCAAAAAATTGAGCATCGGGTTTCATCAGGGTTTCCAAACACTCGAAAACAATAAAAGCACTCGGCCTGCAGTTTGGAAACCCTGATAAAACCCTCACACAATGGTACATCAACCTCTCTTTTAAATCTGAACGATGTCGGATTAACTCGAACACCAGTGAAACTTTAGCTGACTTAATTCGCTTTCAAGAAACAATAGCTAGGATTAAGGGAAACGCTTGTGTTAGAGTTTCAGGAAATAGACTTGATTCGAATGAAAGACATTCATAGAACAAGCTGTGTTTGTAAGATGAAAAAATTCATTCGAAACGCAAGAACATCATCTTGTGGGAAGCATCTAAGCATGAGTGTACCCAATAGCAATTGACAATATTAGTATTTAAATCTTCTTGAAACGTATCAGCAGTACACTGAATTTCAATTATTGCTTATCTGGACTTACCAATCATATTTTAGTGCCCCTCAAATCGATTCTTGTACCTTAAAGCTGTATCTACGGAAACCCTTGAGTTGTTTCATAAGTTGCACGATGGAATGAATTTCTTGCTGGGTCCTTTGCTGTGGTTCTTTGAGGGTAATTTCCTTGGCCCATTCTGGCATTAGAAACTGAAAGCACAAATGTAACTGTATTGTAATGAAAGATAAAAAACTCTAGCAAATTAGAAAAATATTCCCTCCATAAACTGTTAAAAAAATTGAAATTGGATTATCGATATATGGTCGTTCCGATGGTGTATCTACGTCCTCCGGAAATTATCATATCCCTTTGCCTTCATTTATAAAAACTTTCTTAAAACTATCTTTTTCTACAATAACTCTCGCTCTTGTCACAATTTAATTCACCTCTTTATATTTACTTCTGCCGGTGCTTAGCTTGTTATAGTAATTGTTCAAACTATTTGTTATTGCGAGGAATTGGACAAAAGTCACAATGCTATCAGATCAATAGAAAGCTCATAATGAAGCTCTTAATTTGTCCCTTGGTAACTTTAGTCACCGGTTTTGGTGTTCACACTACAAACAACAAGCTGAAAATAGTAAGAAGAGAGCAAGCATAAAAATTTCATAAGTCACCTCGTGGTGGCATTTGTAATTTTCTAGATCAAACATTAGATTCTCCACAGCTCCCTGGGCAGCGGTACTTTTCAAGCTTAGTGTAGCGTCAGAGGTAACTTGTTCATACTGGCCTTTCTTTACAGCGTAATGTACGATGTTCCGAAAAGAAGTGTTAAGAGTTTTAACCTACAACAAAACACGCCAAAGACATTACGATGTATGAGTTTGAATAGCATAATCCCAATCCAGTCTCTTCGGATGAAGCTGTTCCGAACGTGGATTGAAGTGTTACAAATAAAAACCCGAAAATGGCTATAATTTTAAGCAACGGACCTCACTTTTTATCGGTTTACTGGCGCACTAACCCCTATGGGACGTTAAAAGAACAATCGAAGAGTTCTTTAAAATTTTAGAGAGTTATCCTGACAAATCAAAGGTGTTATTACCACGGGAAACTGAACTGGTTCCATGCTTCTATAAAAGGTGGTGAAATGAACAATCAATACCCTTTGCTAACCGAGTTCGAGGTCCGTATTGTGACTTGCAGACCGAGTTTTTTCCGCTCGATTTTCCGTAATTTACAATACGGACTGGGTAAATGAGGGTACGAAGAGATTTATTACATCTCTGAGTTCAAATAGAGAGGAAAAATTTCATTCAAACAATGAAATGGTACGGCCTGTTTCATTGACCAGTCATAGCGCATGAACAAACTGAGAGATGTAATAAGTTTCAGAACAATCGGAGCTTGCGTTGTTCTTACCAAATAAAAAAAATAATAATAAAAAAAAAATCACCTCAGATCATCGCGTGTTTAGTTTCCCAATAATTTGCGAGACCACATGTGTAAAGCTGTCTAACAGACAGATTGGTTGTCATTGTGTACACTGATGAGTATCAATATTTAAGGGAAAGTAAGCTTCAGAAACGACCCGCTATTACTCACTTCTCAGGGCGCTCTGTGATTCTTGAGAGTAACCTCATCATTGAAACTTCTCTTCACATGTGCTACAAGTCAGACTCTGCACGCGGCCATTTTGAAAACGAGTCAGTAACCTGGCCAATCAAGCAAAACCACGACGAAACATTATTATTTGGGCCAAAAATTTCTTTTTGTGCAGCTCCTAAATGATCATATTGATTACTAAGGGATCAAATTTTTTTGAGGCACTGACAAGTGACCGCGTTGCTGAGCAGGATCCAAAAAAAAAAAAGAAAAATAGTGGCTATCTAAGTCGAGTTCCGGCTAGCACATTTGAAGACAATTTTCGAGATTTTAAGTTACTCTTCGGATCTGAAAACGCAAGAAGTATCCCAATTTTAGGTATGATTTTCAGTGGCAAGTATACGAATGAAAAGGTTTCTGGGGTGTACTTCTCCTTTGAAAGCCAATAAAAAATATTAGCAAGTTCGAGGAACCAAAGTGAACATTTTTAACGTGCACATGGACCGTACGTCATCGCAATGGCAACAAAAATAAATTAAGCGCAGGACGAATGTAGTTGCAGCGTGATGAAAAATTGGATTTGGTATTCTTTGTCAGTTAAGAGGAAGGATTGAGTAGGACGGATCGAGCACGCGGAGACTGAACCAGCGTTAATTTGAAACAACAATAGCATATTTATGAAAATTGGGTGGAGGGAATTTTCAACGGTGGCTGTGTCTCAGTCTGTCTTCTTTACCTAACGTGGGTGAAAACAACAACAACAGCAGCAGCGATGGATGTGCCATCAGCAAGGGTGATTAGTGATCGTATCATGCTTACCAGTCTAACAGCATGTCTAAATCGATCCAGAGGCTAAAAAATAACACACACAGAACAGAGTGAGTCACTGTGGCCTTGAGAAGTTCAACCTGAAAAATTTGTAATCCAAGAATGTACTGCAAGTTATGTTTTTGATCAATGTCCCTCATCCAGTTTTTCCCTTAGAATACGGAAGCAAATGTTGGAGCATTCTTATCCGATCTACCGCACTTTACTTCTTGATGCGGTGTCCAAGTACCGCAGATGTAGATGGGGGGGCATCTCGTGCTTACTCTTAGCGTGAATGTCTTCAGTGGTTCATAAGCAACATAAGAAACAACAGAAAGCTACAGCAAACTTTTAATTTTGTGACAGGTAAAATGTTTTCTTTGTTTCTTTTATTATAAAAGAAACAAGGAAAAACATTTCTACTTGTAACAATCAATGCAACCATCAGAGAGGCTAAGTTAGGATCCTTATAGTAAAGAATGAACCTAATCTAATGCGTCCTATTTTCTATCTGTCTTCTCGTCGCCGCCAGTTCGGGTTTACTGAGGAATTCGTCCGCAAATGTCCATTATTCTTCTTTCTGAAAAGCAGCCAAGCAAGGAAAGCCCCCAGTATCTTTTTTCTTTCCTTGCGGTATTTTTTTTATACTGAATTGGGCTCAAAAAAATATTTTAGAGGAAATTTTGATATACTCGAGTCGTTTGATTAATTTATCGATTGGCGGATGAACTACCATATAGTAGATTTTTGCAACGCACAATGCAATTATCCTTTTTACTGTTGGAGTGCTTTTCGATTGTTAAACCAGACCAAAGTAGTAGCAGAGGAGGTATCACAACGAGCCAATGAGAACTCAGAGAAAAAGAAAGTGAACTGTCTGAAGCGCGGGTAAACGCGCGTGACCAAGTCGCAATTGGTTTTAGTTTTGAATCTGATTGGTTGGGAAAGTGGCGCGAGTTTTCTGGACCAATCACAGAGCCAAGGAGAACTCAGAGTAAAACAAGGTGAATTGTCTGAAGCGCGGGAAAACGGAAGTGACCAAGTTACGAGTGATTTTAGTTTGGATCGGATTGGTTACGAAAGTAGCGCGAGTTTGCTGGACTAATCACAGAGCAAAGTAAAACAAAACAAAATCAATCGCCAATTACTTTTAACATTCAATTGCAAACTGCTCCATCATTAAACTTTAGTTCTGTCAACGGAGTTGAGTAATGTAAATTGGCCACCGTAAGGAGTTTCAAAGCTGACTTTATGAGCGTTAGCCCTTCGTCAGAGCGATGACCTTGTTACTCCCACCGACGCAGCACCATAGTTTCTTGGGAAACCTACCCCCTTTATTCATTGCTCTATCATTAGTATATTACAGTTAAATCGTTCAGTAAATTTTTTTTGAGAATTCTTCACAAAAGTTTCAAAAGCACCGTCAGTTGTGTCGTCCCTATTAAGATTGTCTTTGGTTCTTTTATTTTACACATTACATTCGTTTACAAAAACGTTGCAATTTGAAATATAATAGGCGATGGAAGACGCATGTATATTTTACGTCGAAGGACAACACCTATATTGTTACTGTGCGAAGATGAAACAAAGACTTTGGACATTTTGACACCGGTGATTGTAATTTTCCTTTGAAAAATTTGCAACGTTTTTGAAAACGAAGTTATATGTATTCGTTATTTTTATTTTTTGGCAGTTTGTTTTGATCAAACGTCTATATTCGTCGATTATGGTTTTATTGCTTATCTTATCAAGACCGACAATGTCCGAAAGTAATCTAATCAGTTGAATTCGAAGTATTGTGGTCGGTGCAATTTCCAACTGAGATCAAGAAAACGATGCTTGAAGTTCTACACGACATTTGACTGTAGTTACAGAATAACACAGTTGCACCCACCTGAAGATTTTCTTTGGCTTGCTCCCGAAGATCTGCCTGCGGAACAAAAATTACAGTGACAGCGTTTTGTTTTTAAAAACTAAAGTACTAAGATTAGACATGTATCAATTGATTTACAACTCAAAGAAGTTTTTTTGTATAAATACGATCAAACCTGAACTTAACAAACAATTACAGCACTATAACACTTTTCTAGCGTTCTAGTTTACACCTTTGATGTTTTGGTGTCACGTTGTAATTAGTACCCGCTTTTGTATTACATCATTTTGTAAATAATTTATTCATCTACTTGTATACTATTATATTAATTGTTCACACTCAGTTACTCATTGACTGAAGATGGCGTATGCATGCCGAAACATGTCTTTCAAAAAAGTTGTATATTTCTTACAATATCTATAATACTTGCTATCATTGCGACCTTATGGAAAAGAGAGTTTATCTCTTTAATTAAATACTCAGTGGGATTTTCACAGTTTGGGTTGGCAGACTTCTCTGGAGATTTGGACTCTTTAACGAATAAATTTTTCGCAGCTGTTGAAAGAAATCAATCACTAATATCACAGAGCCAAAGGAAAAATAAGCAGCGACATAAATTCAAAGGTTCTTTGCAGCAGAATATCCAGACCTCTCTAAGTCGTTTCATCGACGGTGAGCTATATAAAGCAATTATTTCAAGTATGTGCTGATACATCCTTATCAAATGCTTAGTCATATTAATCTCTTGCATTTTTTAAAAATCAGAAACAAGTGTGCCATCGACCGGCAATGAAAGACGTGATTAAATTCATATCGCTTCCAATCTCGACGAATATTCATATTCGCTAAACAGCATGATCAATTTTTCCTAAAGATAACAAAAAATATTGAATTGCAGTACCAAATTATTTAAATAATTAAAGAATATTTGTCACGCGATTTGCCAAATTGCTCATGCTAGCTAAGTCTACAAAACTTGGAAACAAACAAAAAAAATCTGAGCATATTGAACTAAACACAGAAAGGGCCTGAAAAAAAAATTATCAAAATTTCTTCGAGCACTGGATATACAGGAATTGATTGAAAAGAAAAACCTAGACGTAGTATTTGGGTTGCTCATAGATACGGCTCACGCGCCACGAGTCTTGAGAGCTTTTCTTTTAAGATAAAAAAAAAATGAAAGTCTTACTTGCTTTTTCTCATATTCTCTAAGCCATTTCTTGGGTACGTTCATCTTGATATAATCCCCTTGCCATCGCCCAGTTTTGTTCCTGTCAAACAGATGTCCGTTATATCTTGCATAATGTGATCGTCTGCGCTCATTAAACGCAGCTCTAGACAACTGAGATCTTTTCTCGACTGGCAAGGAATTTTTTCGTAAAGCTTCACTTGGCCACGATTTATTTCGTATCCTTTTCCGGAGTTTTGAAAGATTATCGGCAGAGTCTCGAGGAATTGTTTCATTCTGCATCTCAAAACTTGAACGGCGATGAAACATAAAAGTGACATCAACACTTTTGCCTCGCCGTCCACGTTGCTCCGCTCCATTAGTTTTCTCACGTTCCATATTAAATTGGTATTTTCTTCGCTACTGAACCATAATCCTTAACTGTTCATGAACCTTAAATCTCAATGTCGCTTCATTATCTTGGGGTGTAATAAAAAAAAATGTTTATACCCAAAGTAATTCGCTATTGTTTCCTTTGTTTGCGGAACTGTTTTTTTTTCAAGCTCGCGTGGTTTCTACGCAACCACCTTTGCTTGAATATGAGCGCGCGCTTGACGTAGGGACCGAAACGACTGCAATTACAAATTTCTAAATGAACCGTCACTAATGGTTCATCTAAGATTTTAATTTTACGTGCTCCTTCACACGTGCAACAACCTATTTTCTTTTTTTTCTTTAAGTAAATCGAAAGCCTTTATTCAACAATTGTACATCCATTCATCCATTGACACTTAAGTTAAGAGGGTCAACAGAAGTTAAAGATCAAGATCTATTATGAACAAAAATCCTCTGTTCATGATTGGGAAGATCTGTATAATTCTCAAGTCGGAAAATTGGATAAATGAGGACTTGAATAGGGATGATGGGCTCATTGGATGGGTCTGCCCTTTATAGAAGGCTGACTGTATAGTGCACCGTCGCCTCAGTAAGTGCCTCGTCTGTTTAGGCTCCTGGTTGAGTTGAAACACGGGAAGCAGAACACTATAGCAGCCCCTTTCAACGATAGCTAGAGGAGAATTTTCCTTTAAACCATATACTTCGTCTCCATCATTAAAAATTATGGATGAACTTTAGCTATTAGCCGCATTTTGAGATTCCATAAAGGAATATAAACGTCCGATAATTGTCTCCAGATGAACGAAAAGTTTAACCATTTCAAAAACAACTCAGTAACATCCACACACATAAAACAAGGATGTGCGGTGCCCAAGCAGCTCTTTCTGTGTTTATTCCCCCCAAAAGAACCATTACTTGAGTCTTGAATGCCCTTTCATCCACCTCTATAATTTTTCAAACAGACCCTTAAGCATGGAAAAAAAATGGGACTGAGGTTCCCGACAAATGAGTAAACATTTTGTGCTTCCCATACCTCCACTTCCAATAGGCCTATTGCGTTTCTTTATGCTCTAAATCACGTTCAAAAAGTTGCTAGCTTTTTGACTGCTGGCAGTGTAAGTTGTTTTGGTCCACGTCCGCTAGCAAAGATTAGTTTTGTGGGTTGAAAAATAGTCTGTAGGTGGAGTGTAGTTTGCAAACCAGCAAGGGGTTTAAAATCGTCAACTAGACACACTTAACATACTTAGTAACGATAGTCAATAACTACTTTAACTTACCCATTCCAGGAAGATCTCCAGCTGTTTCTGAAGGTGATGTTACAATCAGATTTTACAGAAGTATGCTCCAAAACCATTTAATATTTATATCGTCATTAAATCTGCCTGATGAGTGCTTAACGCACGAAACTCAGAGTTGCAGCGAATCATGTGTTTCCTTCTAGTCACTGAATGTTATCTTCCAATAAATATTTTATTGCCTAAAAAATGTGACCAGCTCCTTGTCTGTGCTGTTAAATATTTTCTTATTTCTCTCATTGTTTTCCACTTCTTTGATATCTGTTTGAACCATCAGGAGGCACACAAACGTGGATTTTTGAACAAAGCCAGAGCAGCAGCTTTTCATGAACTTTTTCCAATATGCCGTTTGTGTGTGGTCAGCTTTTAATGAACTGTTTTCAAAATGTCGACGTTCAGATTCGAATTTTCAGCACAGTTAGACAATTTACGTACCGTGAGATACTTTGAAATCTATGATTATGTTCCTAGAGCATACTTCTCCAGTGATTTGCATGCCATTATCCTCACAAATTAAGTGGATGGTTGTTCGCTGAGTAATGGATTTGGGAGACTAGATACTAGCGTTGAGACGCCAGCGGCCTTCTTTAGAGATCAGGCGCAATTTGGTTTGCAGTGTCATGGCGGATGGCTGAAGGAAAGCATTGATAAATTAAAGCTTGTTTCAGTGGAAAAAGTAAAAAAGGTTAGTTTCGAAAAGATTCAAAATGGCAAAGCAAGACGTAGAAATGAAAGAAGAACCTAAACAGAACGACTCCGCAGAATCAGAAGAACCAAAAGCGGAGGTCTCGAAGGAAGAAAAAGAGAGACTCGTTTTGGAAGGTTAGTTTAATCTTTTTTTCCAGCACAGAAGTAGTTTTGAATGACCGAATATAACTTACTCTTATGGCCATCTCTGTGGGAATTTCAAATCGGTTGAAAGCCTACAATGGTATGTTGAATAATTTTTAATTTTTTTTGTGTTAGGGTAGGGCTTAATTTTTTGAAATTATAAAGATAATTTTCAGATGAGAAATTAAATTGTCGTTCCTTGTAAAACAGTGAAAGTAATAATCAATAGTGATAAAATTTGCATTTAGTCGTTTGATTTGGTGTAAGTGTTTTCAAATTTTTTTGTAGATCTCAAAGATCAGGTCAAGTACATAGAAAAGTCAGTGTCATCCAAGGAACCACGGTTTGTGACCCGTGTTCTAAGAGCTATTCCAGCAACAAGGAAGAAGCTTACTCACGCAATTCTCAGAAAGCTTATTTGTGGCTTTTTTCCTAATTGTAAGTAGAGAAGAACACCTGTAGCCTTCTGGGGGCTTCCTTTTACAAATTGCACCAAGTATAAAGATCCAGGTACAGCTTATTTTGTAATGTTGATCTATTTTCTAAGAATTTAAAATGTTATCTTTTTTACAGCATCAGTTGCAAGAGATGGCTTGTTGGCTTTTCTTGATGAGGTTAGATATTTTAAAAGAAATTGTTTATGATACATGTATAATGGTCCAATTCCATTTATTGCCTGGGGTGTTTATTTTACTTTGGTTACCAAAAGGGAGGGTGCTCATTTGAGACAGGGGGCTTATTGGGGCCAGGGTGTTTATTCCTTTTTTGAGAATCAGCAGAATGTACAAAATAAAGCTTAACTGTTTATTTTGAAAAGGATCAAGAAGACTGGAAAAGGGACTTGTTGTCTCTGGATCCTTCCTAGCTTAAACGGAAAGCCGAGCAGTTGGGGCAAAATTTTTAAGAGGTCGTTCAGTTAAGAGACTGAGACAAAGGCCACAGTTTTTGTTATGAGACTGTAAGAGAGTAATTAAACAAGGGTGAACCATAGTTGATCTCATTGTACATTTACTCTAACAGTGCTGTCATTAGAACAGATTATTTGTGTTTATTAGAATATAGATGCTTATTGGAAGGAAGGTGCTTACTCAATAGGAGGGTTTATTAGATTAGGGCCATTTATCAACAAAAAACAAAGTTTAGGGGAAGAGGGGAGTTATTAGAGAGGGGACACTTATTGGAAGGAAGGTGCCAAATCAAATCATTAGGGTAACAGGGAGATGTTCAGGTAATGCAGCATTGATTTCTATGTGTAAGAGTACCAACAGTTGTTGTCATTCTTGTTTTTGGGATTTTAGCCAATGGAATCAGAACTAGGAGTAGCATTCAGACCACGGAGTGCCAGGTTGATAGCTGCTGCAGCATTACCAGAAGTTGAATTTTATTTTCACTTGTTGGTTTTGATTCATCTCATTGATACAGAGTGTTTTAAGGAAGTAAGACACCTTGTGTAATTACAAATCTAAATGTACATTTCATTTAATATTCAAATATAGTACTTGTAAGAAAGTAATTTCACAGTCCTTTGAAACTTGATTCTTTGTAGTCCAGAACTTTAAGGATCAAGGCTGTTAGTTTAGAAACAAAGGACCCTTTTCATGTTTAACTTTTCACACAGCTTGAAACTTCTTAGGTTTATGTAAATTTTATGTACTTTCATATCACTTCATGCCCATTAGAAGTTTCTCTTTTCAAATATATCTATTGGCTGAACACATCTATTGAAAATTGAATGTTACTGTGGTACTTCCCTTGACATTACCAAAAATGTTACTAATTATAACCATCTAGTATCCTGATTCCCTTTCATTGCTTTTATCGTATTTAAGATGTGTGCAGTTTAATTGTTGTCATTTAGATGACTTGGTGTTCTTCAGAGCTAATTTTCAAGGATTCTACTTGTCAACTGACTTTGCATTATGATCTTCAGTAATAAGAGGGTCAGAAAACATCCATACCCACCCCACAGAGGGTTATAGAAAATCTGGATGGGGGAAGGAGGGCATGTTTAGAAGTAAATGTTTTATCTATGGGATGATTTAGGTTTATTTGAATTATTTCACTTAAACATTCTATATCAGTTTAAGGGCTAGGTGGAAGGCAGAGTTAAAATATCAAGGCTTTGTTCTGTAAATACATTGTACATGTACATGTCCTGTGTGGAATTGAAGTTTTACCAGAAAGATGTGCTGGTGGAAAAACTCTCCATGGGAGGAAAATAGATAGCTTTTCAAACACTCGAAGCATGTGTTTTTTTATGATTTTTTCAGGCTGTTAAATGCTCAGAACTACTGATGCAGCGATCTTTAGGACACAACAGGAGGACATTAGACCCTCTTCTTGCCAAGTGTTATTTCTACCATTCTCGTGCCTATGAACTGGTTGACAGACTACAAGAAATCAGAAGGTAAATAACATACAGCTTGAAAATTTTGCAAGTTTTGATTTTTTCCCGCCAAAAGAAAATTCGATGAATTAAAATGCCACAAAAATTTAACATTGGCCATATGAAAACTATGCTTGTCAATCAATTGCTGATTGATTTTCTTCATATCAATAATGATAAAAATAATAAGGATTTTTTCTTTAGTGTCACATCCAATAGCTCATTGTGCTTTACAACACTTTACAAGGGGACTTTGGCCAGACTGCATTGAGCACTTGACAATTTTTTTTAAAGTGCTACTGCGACTAAATTTTTGCATTTTATTTTCCCAATCTTCTGGTGTTAACTTCACATTTAGACCCTAAACTACATGAATAAGTGAAAGTTTCTCAAATTTGATAACGTTATTCCTTAAAAACAGCACCGTGAAAACATTAAAAATTTTTCTGTCATTGTTCGAATAACACACTGGAGAACCCACGAAAATAACTACAGCGGTTTTAGTTGTGACGTCATTGATGAAGGCATACCTTTACAAAAAATACGCAAAAGAAAGCTGGGGAACAATTCTTTTGAATTTTATTCCTTCTTTACTACGGAACCAGAAAAACAACTCTCTCTCGGCATACCAAATTAGCTACGTTTGTTGAGTTGTTGACGTCACTTCCGTTCTCAACCCAGTTTCTTCTTCTTTGCWCGGAGTTCTGTAGTTCGAAGAATGGCGGCCGTTTAGATCGCGAATCTACAGGGAAAATAATATTACTTCTCAATGGAGTTTTGCCTTAAGATTTGGCAAATTTGTTACTTAGGGGGTAAGTACTTTCAACCTGTGAGGAGAAAAGAAAAGGTGCATTAATGGTTGCAGTAGCACTTGCAGGAAATTTTTGCAGATGCCCCTAATTTCAGAATCAAGGCCAGACCACAACACCAGGAGCTATGTTCTCTGCTCTAGTGTGTGGGTTCTTTGACTTCCCCTGCTAATCAGCACATAGAAAAATGTAGGAGCTGGGGCCAACGGTTTTTCATCCTTATCTGAGAAGACTAAGAATGTCTAACCATTTGCAAATGTTATTGCAAAGGCAGCACATTCTCCTCAGTTTATTAAAGACCATGAGTGTTGATCCTGCAACTGCCCACAAAGGAGTCCAGTGTTCTACAACATGAGCTAACCAGGCTCACTTAAGATGTCCAACTACAAATCATCTATAGTGTAACTCCTATTTCTGAAGTTAGAAAATTTGATGATATCTGGTTTCTGTGTTTATCTTCTTGTTGATGTATTGCTGCTGATACAGATAATCACAATAATTAATTCACAACTTAATTGTCAGCCATCTTGAAATACAAAAATCTGTTCTCACTAAAAAGAAATCAGCCATTATTTGTTACATAAATGTAAAATAGCATGCTGGTAATATTCCAGTTTATTATCCAACTGTACTTCATAGAGTACAAATAATACCCAAACAAGGACAAATATCTTGGGGTATTTGTACTCCGGAGAACCAGGTGCAAAATTCACCTGCACTGAAATAGCCATTTGGCATTTTGGATAATAAATCTTTTATTAATGTTTTGTTGTGTAGTATTGCTGAGTATTTTTACTCGTTGTCTGTATTTTGACTCGCCCTATGGGCTCATCAAAATATGGCACAACTCATGAAAATGCTCAATGATACTACACAACAAAACTTTTAATAAGACATGTATTAAAAGAATATCTTGAACCCAATACTTTGAAACAGGCCTCCGAGCAGGGCCTGCTGACAGTGCAACACACTTTTACTCACAGCATACATATTTACAGCTCTAACATCAGTACAGAAGAATCTTACCAATACGATAATGTCCATGTTCATATATGCACTTACTTTGGCTGACGACCCATTTGTGTTGGTGTCAAGTTTAACTAGTTTTTTTCTTGTCTCAGCTTTCTACTGGCAAGACTAAGAACAGCTACTTTAAGGCATGATGATGAAGGACAAGTAAGTACATTTTGTTATATGAACAGGGATGTCTGTGCAGTGTGCACAGTTTCAGAGAGCCTTTGAGTGGCCAAAATGGCATAGGTTAAGAATGCCTTTGTAAGAGATTGATCACATTATATATACAAGTCATTTAATGGGCTTGGATCAGCTTGTGGGTAATCAGAGAGTTTGCTTACTATGTGAAGAAACTATTATTAATAATAATATTGAAATTTTTTTGAGGTTATTACTCTTTCTCTTTCCAGGCCATTCTTTTGAATCTTCTCTTAAGAAACTATCTTCAGCTGAACTTGTATGATCAGGTAAGACCTAGTCAGAGTAACCTGATAACTCCTTAAAACATTCATGAAAGAATGTGGTACTGCAATCCAAGTGTTTTTTTTTTTTTTTTTGTCAGCTTCCTCATCAGGGCTTCACCAAGTTGTGCTGAGTAGCCACAACAAGTTTGCTAATTGGTTCTCCAAATTGATAGATACCAACTAAATGAATATTTTTCAAATCAGATTAACATTCAATTACATTTACATAAAACAGAATCAACTTTCCAATTGTTTAGGCTGAGAAGTTGGTGTCAAAGTCGTCATTTCCAGAGACAGCCAGCACAAATGAATGGGCACGATTTCTGTACTATACTGGTTAGTGGAGTTTACTTAAATTAATATGTATAAATTTGTTTCTGTTGCAAAATAGATTTTTCCATGTTAATTAGTGTGAAAGGTAATACTGATGATTGGTTACATGTAATTTTTTCCTTTTTCTTTGAACCTAAGGCATAATCAAAGCTATTCAACTGGATTACTCAGAGGCTCACAAGAATTTGCTGCAGGCCATAAGGAAAGCTCCACAGCAAGCTGCTATTGGATTCAAGCAAACTGTAAGTACATTGAACTAACACCAAGAAAATTATTATTTTGTTATAGTTATCAACTATTGTAAATTACTTTGATAAAATGACTTTTCATTTCTTGATGGTTCTTTTTGAGAAAGGTTGAAATGGAATTTGTTATAGTTGAATTATTATTATCATTATTATTATTGTTATTATTACTAAGAGTATACAACTTTAGAAAGAGTCATTGTTTTTCAGTTTATGGGTATCTGTTGTTTTGTTAAATATAGAATGTTTGGTTTAAATGGTTTCCAGCTAAATGTAGTCAGTCTTGTATTTTGTATCTTGAACTAAAAAACATGTCAGTATCAATGTTACTCTAAATTTATATCAAACTGCCACATGTAACTGTTGTGTGAGTCCTGCCTCACTTCTTGTCTCTGAAAGAGATTTTAGTTTGCTGGTGCCTGGTAGTTCTCATTTAACAATGAAATTTTTGTCCTGTAGGCACACAAGTTTGCTATTGTTGTTCAACTGCTTCTTGGTGAAATACCTGACAGAGCCACCTTTAGAGAACCATTTCTGAGAAAAACTCTTGTTCCTTACTTTCAACTGACACAGGGTGAGTTTGTCCTGTTGTTATGATATGATATCAATAAATATGCATTGAACCTGTGATGCAGTGATTTTAAGTCTTGGGATCATTGATGGGAAGTATCGAAGCTGTTGCTGTACTCAATCATAGTTTTATAACAGATCCATAGTGGTGCAAGACATAGTTGAGTTCATGAGAAGTAGCTTTGATGGTGTAATAGAGGTTCTCATTCTCTGCTTTCATTCTTTGTTTCTCTCTTTACTTCTCTCTCTCCCTTTGGGTCAGAGTGTCACATGCTACAAGGTTGGAATTGTTATTTAGTGTTCAAGTCCTTAAAGTGCTTCTTTGGTTTTCTTTATTGGGTTGGCCCTGGTTCATTAATGCTCTATGAACATCCATGGAAACAAACTTACATGAATTTCTCATACCTCAAGAATCACAGTGGCCCCAGAAACCTAACCAAGTTTATATAAGTTGCTCTTGGTACTAGATAAATTCTTAGACAAGCAAGGATTAGGGCTGTCTCCCCTTGTCAGAGTGTATGAAGTGTCCAGCTTGTGAAGTGCACTTTGGGTGGGGAGAAAAAATGATTGTTGTTTTTCACGATGAACAGGCAGGAGATTAGTTCTTTGATTGCCTTTTGATGGATCACAACACAATATTTTGAGTTAATTTACTGAATGAACGGTGTAAGGAGTAACTTCTGATTTAGTGTAAAATTTAATCTCTAATTCATATGCATATTTTGTACAAGACTTGGAAGGATAATCGAGATCAGGCATAATTTTGGCGAGCTAGTGCTCAGTATTTTCTTAGCAAAAAGTTATGACCATCATCTTTGAATTCAAGCAGAAGGCTGGGGAGAGAAGGAAATCTGTAACAAGGGGTTGAGCAATTCAAACTCCAAATTATACATGGCTGGTTGAATGAATGATCACACACTTCTCAATGTCAACTCGCCCTAATAATTGTCCTGCACTGCAGGCTAGGATAATCCAGTACCTTGCCAGAAGTTACTTGAGGCTTTATTGCAGAGCACCCCTTCCACCACAGCCTGAAGTGTAGGGCCTCTGCCAAAAGTGTCGTTATATTTTTCATCCTAAGCGTAAAATTGCTCTCACCAAGCTATTAGAATACTGTTACCTTGGGTAGGTTCTACTGCTCTCCAATCTGAGTGGTGTGGCTTACATTTGAGTTAACTCCATTTATTTATTGTTTTGCTTTTATATTAATGGATCTGATTGGAGGTTGGGGAAAGTATAGATATGAGGAATAGGAAGCGTGAGAAATCTAAATTTCAAAGCTCAAATATCATTCAATAATGTTAGTTGAAGTTTCTATTTTTGGGATATAATCCTTTTTTTTCATCACATATTTAACAATTATTCCACTTGCGCTTGTTGGATATGAGATGATAGATAGCCAACTCGGCGCTACGCGCCTCGTTGGCTATAATCATCTCATATCCAACAAGCGCAAGTGGAATAATTGTTAAATATGTGATGAAAAAAAAGGATTATATCCCAAAAATAGAAACTTCAAC